TAGTCCATGAACTTCTGTGGTATTCGAGCTCTGATCACTTTCTAGGCGCTCGCGCGCGCTAACTCTGATAACATGCGTACATAGATGCTGGTTCTAGGATCCTCCCAAATACTAGGGAAATTCCGGAGTTTTAGAGATACGATGGGTCTAGCAGTGCGGTTTTGTTGCCGCCATATGAGTATCTTGATTAGATCTTGTGCATGTGACCCATCTGTCTAAGCTCCGCATACATTCATAGCAAAATACACATTGCGTGGGTCATTACCCGTAATGCACTGACGTCCACGAGAGTAGTCTGATGTCACAGATAGATTCGAAAAACGAATCACTTGCACCCAGACGCCTTTTACAGCAACACTGTGCATGACTTCCGTGGTCCGATAATCAAATGAGCTGCGCTGCCTTACAATACTCCTGTTTGGACAAGTTCTGAAGGGCATTCTATGTTTCCAATGTGATCCTATGAAATGAGGCCATGGCAAATGCCATTTTTTCATATTATCCTATCAATGTGGGCTACAATTTTCACACATACTCCAAACAGGTATTGTACTGAGAATGCTCGCGGTATCACCACATGTTGTGCAGTAACTCTGAGGATTTCTCCAAGTGAAGGGCTGTTCATTCTTAGCTATTCAGTAGTCATGAATTCTCATACTGCTTTCGTAGTTTTGTCGAGTGAATATGCGTCACATAAAAACAAATCAAATCGAAGAGACGGGATTCAGGCCTTGGAGATGAGTACTTCTAGTTCGTCAAACACCATGCGGTTAGGACTGTCAGAGATGTCCCGTTCCGATACATTTCTCCTGGAAGTCTGTTTGCCTATATGAGGAGCAGAGTCACCGGCTTTAATCGCCTTCTACTGCTAAATCGAATGCTGATGGTAGAACACTTTGTTGGTTTGGAGTCCCTTTGCAAAGCTTGCGATAGATTTACTCTAAATCTTTACCTCCAGCTTGGCGCCAGTTTCAAAGTATAGACGACCTAGTCAATGTCCACTCGGCAAGCAAAAGGATTAGCCTATAGAATGCGAACGAAGACGAATCTCTAAGTCTGTAGCGAGCTCCCGAAGGCTGGAGTGTCTACAGACATTCCCTGAGCTGAACCTATTTACCTCAGGTTGGACTCAGTCAATCAGAGTTGACATTTGAATCACAATCATTGTTTTAAATATGGGATAAACTTATTCCGAAAATCTACGCCTTCTTTTGTCTGTCAACGGATAGGTGACGAAACAAAAAGACCCAGAGACTGGACAACAATCGATGCTTTTCCAAATCGATTATCCAGAAATAGCCGACTCTGTGGGTGTTCAGCCCAGACATCGTTTCATGTCAGCCTACGAACAAAGGGTCGAACCGCCCGATCGTCGTTGGCAGTATTTACTGTTTGCTGCTGAGCCGTACGAAACAATCGCTTTCAAAATCCCCAGTCGGGAAGTGGACAAAGATCCGAAAAAGTTGTGGACCTATTGGAATCCAAGTGTGAAACAGTTCTTTCTGCAGGTAAGCACGAATCTGACACGTGCGTATGCGATTCCCTACTGTATTCGCTCGTGAATTTTTACCACTAATGGGTTGTGTTGACTTGGTCAAGTTATTCACCACTCGGTTAACCAAGTACGATTGTGACTGCCTTTTCGCACAACTGTCTCCCGACTGGCATGATCCAAAGATGGTTGTAACATAAATTGAAGCAGTTAGCTCTTTTGGTTGTCTTGTTAGCGCTAGTCATTTATATGAGCTTCCTAGGTACAGAAAACAACCCATGGTTTCCAATACAGCAGGTTCACTGGTCATATCCAACCCTGACTCTTGTCTATCTCTAGGCAACCCAACAGCACATCACTCTTCGTGCTGTCTTCTGCGTGCACGGTGGTAAGGTTAGCATGTTGCAATCATTCCGACAACACCCCGATTTTTCGTGCTCTCTTTCGTACCGCTGTACGAAGCCAGGGGTTGACGGCCTCTCTGACATGCCACTCCGTGCCATAAGGCCTTGCTGGTCGAAATAACTCCATTTGCATAAATACTTTTCCGTGTCAGTTGATCAAGCGGCACTCACCACACCCCCTGAGCATATGCTCTACGATTTATACTACCAAATGGCATACGCTTCTGGATTGGCTTGTCACACCGAACAACACACCGCGCACAACAACATGAGCAATATGTGCTGACCTGCATGTGTAGCCGAACGAATCTCCCGTATCTGTTGTAAACCCGATTGAATAAGACAGGAGGGCTAAGAAGGAGACAGTTTGAAGCCGTCATCAGACCTAACTGAGGAGCTGTAATTCTTACACCGTGCTGGGAAAGCCGAACAGCTCTGTATGCGAAAGGTGACCTGGTGACCCGTACGTGTAGCTTGTATTGGCCTGTTTTCTAGTTGGTTTGTACAACGACGGTTGTAGGCTCAACAACGGAACCTTCGGGGTTTTAAGACAGGTTTTTGTAGACGGGAATGAAAATAGCCTGATAGTTGAACCTAGTGGTGTGCACTTCGAATTGATCGAGGCACACGCATGGCATTCTGTATTTCGTCGTGATTTGATTGGGTAGCTGACCGAAGTGTTCAATGTGTGTCATGGTATTTTGATCCGTACAGTGATGTCTACGAAGTGACTTGCAACGCCGTACAGGTGCGTCTTGGTCTCATTGGATTTTGTTGAGATTTCTGTCGGTTGCTTTTTGGTTTGCTGAGGTGACCACGATGGCGATATCCGCCGCTAGCCTCGATTCAGAGCCATATTTTTCAGCTCTTAGTGACCAAGCTGCCTGGGATCCCATCCAAAGAGCCCAAACCGTTCTACATGGATAAATTGACTTTATTTGTCGTCGCTATTCGCCGTTACCGTCTTTCCTTCTACCGAGCACATCTATCACGCAGAAATGGGGCATGATATGGTAGACACGGGACGAGCTTGCATAGAACATCGTATCACCACCTCAACCGACTGTGGGTGACCATTACCCTGTCTTACTGTACATAGGCCACGACTGTCAAACGCATGTCACTAACGCGGATAAATCTGGCCTGTGAATTTTGGTAGTC